CTGCCTCTGCTCCATGCACAGATCCAGGAGGCACATGCCCCCCATGGCTCCTCCTGGGACTGTATGCCATGGCAGAAGCCACTCCCTTCCTCCTCTCTCTATGCCCTCCAGATGAGCTGCTTGCAGCTCCGTCAGGCACCCCACCCTGGCTGGGCAGCACCTGCCCCAGCCCCACTCCCTCCCTCACTGCAGTGGCCATGATCTGCCCCCCTCCCCATGCCCCTTCCCGCCCCCAGCCGCTTCCCTTCTCCACAGGACTAACCAACCCAACGCTGCTCTCTCCAAGATACCAGGTTGGCCCACGTACATGCTGAAGCTGCACGCATGCACGTGGCATCTATCAGCAACATTATTGGCCACATCAGCCAAAAAAAGCTGATTGCCGATAATGTCAATTTTCCTTTTATCGGTGCCAATACGATGTGGACCGATGCATCGGTGCACCTCTAAAAAAAATACCCAAAAGCAAACAGATTTTAAGTGGGAGCAAAAGAAGAAGGTAGTATATATTTAATTTAATGGGAACAGTGCCACTTCCATTATGCTAGCTTCTTCCTCACCTTCCATTAGCTCCATGAATATTGTAACCCAAGGACCTTCCCTGACCGCTCCATACAAAGGGACAACTTTGGGACTCATCACCCCAGCACATGTCGTTAACTCCTCTGCACGAAAGTGTTCGACTTGCACCTGGAGAACCAAACAAGAAGACTGAGCAAGAGTCATGGAACAGTTCTACATAGAAGATCCTAGCCAGATAATCCCTCTATGCACTGAGTAACTGAGCCTTTTACAAAGTACCAACTGAACTTCAGCACCAGCAGCTCTAGAGGCAAAAAAGGGCCCCTAAACCTAGTGTGCACAGTACTGGGTGCACTGAAGCTGACACTCTTGAGCAAGAAAGAAATGCAACTACGTGATCTCATGGGATATGAGAATCCCTAGCACTTGGAGCACAGCAACGAGACCAGCAGCTTTAAAAAAAGCAGATAAAAGAGAGCTCAGACTACCATGCCTCTTTTCAAAGCCTCTATTATCACGGTTGAATTCACACCATTTTGGTGAGAAGGTTTAAGTAGTCAGCCCTAGATAGGTCTTGTTAAAAAGGGACACCAACAACCTACTTAGCATGCTTCTATCTAAACACTCCTGTAACCAGGGGCCTACAGGCCGTAGGTTGCAAAGCTGTGCTCCAAACTGTAAAGGTCAGATTGCGTTGTATGGTTGACAGCACACTGCCTGGTTTCTCTCTGTTTGTGCTTAACTTTCACACCAATATGGAAGAAATACACTTTGAGAAAGCTGGGAACATACAAGTGTCAAAACCACAGAGACTGGCCAAGAAAATCCAGCAGAGATGCAACATTGGACACAACTCTCAGAGACCAAATTAAAAAGGGAACTTGAAAAAAAACCTATGTATAGTAATCAACTTATTAGGCAGTAGCAATGCTACGCAAGGCAAATGGTTAAACAGAACTCTGATTCACATGAAGCTGGCTTATAAAGACAAAACTCTACTGAAGGAAAACATGACTCATTTGGACGTTGGTGGGAGAAGGATGCTTCGTGTTTCATTGTTGTCAACGGTCCAAGCCACAGCTAGTTTGGTTTCTAAGGGCCTGAGATTAAACCAGCTGCTGACAAGATCAAGTTTGATCGAACAAGAGTAGGTAGCTTGATTCCAGTAAAAGAAGAGTGTGGTAATTTCAGACAAGCCAGGCTTTGCACTTGAAGGCTAAGGTGTCTTAACTTAGGTTGTCTGTATTCTTAACTGCTAGTTAATATTTTGACAAATCTGAAATGCACAGACAAGTCCTTTTCTTCATCTAAACAGATACTTTCTGAAGTCCTCATTAAAAAAAACTGTAGGCAAAAGTGTGTGCATGTGCGCACACATGCATGTGTCCCCTCCCCCGCCCCCAACATAGGCCCCAATTATCTGTAACAGGATTTCTCAAGCATTGCCAGGTAGATAATTAACCGAAGTGAAAAGATCTATAAGTTTCGGCAGTGACATTATGACCTGCTCTTGCTTCCATTCAGCCATTATATGTATTTATACTTTTAAATATGATCACAGATGACATGACATTTTTGGAGGTATATGACCTTTCTTGTTCATGATGACCCTCACTATACAGCACACATGAGCAGAGGGGAAAAAAAAGATCAGTTGTATTAGTTTTCTGACTTTATATAAAGTTTCTTTTTTCTGCCATGTGAATTTTTATTAGAAAAGAATGAATTTTAATTAAGATGAAATTAAGATTTAATTTAAAAAAAATATGTATTTTGCTGTATCTAAGGCTTCCATTCTAAAATTGGTTATGCCTTAGAAGCTTGACTGGTTGCTGCTAGAATAATGTGAGAAAAATATGTTTAATAAGCACCAAAAAGTAAATAGTATGCTACTGTTGATCCTCTGGATCATGGTGTACACCTAAGAGGTCTAGTTAGATGCCTGATAAATTCAAGAGCCACACAGCTTGTTACAAAGTTTCACAGATCCATATGTTGTCTAGGTTAGAGTCATAGGTGACTGGTAGGGGGGTCCACGTGCCCTCCCTGATGGGGCTGGTGCCGCTGTCAGCAGCTTCTGCGGGTGCCCCTCCCCCCCAGATTCAGGAGGCACCACTCACTCATGGTTAGTGTCCAAATTTATAGCATGCTGCTTTCTTCTTTCTTGCTTTGCTTCCAACCTCTGGATCAAAGCTGCTTCATGTTGAGCTGCCCACAATGTCAGATATTCCCTCCAGATTGAACAGGATTCTGTATGCTTCCCGCAGCTTTCTATGTTGATGCTGAACGACTTCATATACTTTTTGGACACATTGTGGTACCACCATAGAGGGTGACCCTGCTTTCTAGAGCTGTCTGTGTGTCTCAAATTTCACTATACAAAATATTCTTGGGGATACGGTCTTCTCCCATTCTCCTGACATGGCTGATCCACTGCAACCTTTTCATTTTGATAATGGTTTCTAAGTGTGTCAGTCCTGTGCACTCCAGTACCTCTGTGCTTGGTATTCTGTCTTCCCATTTTATTTTCAGTATCTTACACAGACATCTCATGTCGAAGTTGTTCAGTCTCTTGTTATGTTTAGCATACGTAGTCCACATTTCTGAACCATAAAGCAGGGATGACAGCACGTCTCACAAATTCATGTCTCCACCTTAGCTGATAGTTTGCTATTATTCCATGCAAATTTCTGCAATAGCCTGAAATTCTTAGCTGCATTTCCAATTATGTTAGTCAGTTCAGTCTGAAGGTCAAGATTCCTGCTGACTGCAGAACCCAAGTAGCAAACACTGTCAACAACACCAAAAAATGTATCCTCCAGAGAGATGTCAGGTACTGTTTTTTTTTAACTTTGGTATATGATTGATCACAGTCTTCTTGAGACTACCTGCCATCCTAAAACTCTTGCAAGATTCAGAAAATCTGCCCATGAGATTTTGTAGAGAAGATCCACTGTGGGCAACCAAGGCCACATCATCTGCAAACAGGAAACCTCTCAGAACCAGCTCTTTCACCATGGTTTTCACTTTAAACCTTGCAATGTTGAACAAGCCTCCATCTAGTCTGAT